TGTGGCGCTTTATATTCGCTGTGTTTTGATACTGTACACACATACTGTAGACTGTTCTGTTCTCCCTCTCCTCACCTCAAAGGCATGCACACTCTCTGAAGTTTTTTTTTCTACTCCCTTCATTTTTTTGGGAGAGTGAGGAGAAAAGAAAAGATTGTGTGATGCAGAGTATGATGGAGCAGCAGAGGAGGCCGATGGAGTGCTGTCTCAGTGCGCTGCCTGGATGATGGATGAACTTTGAACAGATTTGCTCAACATTAAAAGGGTCGGGAGGCCCCTGGGCCTGTAAGGCAGTGGGGAAGAGGGGGAATGAGAAGGGGAGATGAGAAATAGGGCGATGTGCCATGAAGTCTGTTTATGGGTGCTGCCCCTTATTTTTGCAGCCCCATTGCCGACAGCAAGCCATGCTAATATTTCAGGTGAGGGGGTAACAGAGAGCACTGTGGGAAATCACATTATGTAGGGATATTAGAGTAATTCACCCTGGGTTGCCTCTCCCATGCTGCCCTGTCCCCCAGGTGCTCTATTGTCATCTAATCCTATTCTAGCAGTGCCAGAGTCTTAAATCTGGAGACTTCACACCTTTACATTGAGATTAATGCCTGAGGGTCGCGTGACATGCTCTTGCTCATTCCATGGTCATTGTGCCGTATTAAAAATGCAGGAACACTCTGAGGCTCGACCCTTTCTCTGATGCAGTTTGTGAAATTACCAGAAAACTAATTTACACTACATTTTGAACATTTGCCACTAACAGATTAATGCAAACTTCAATGACTCAGCTCGATTTTTAACAAACAACTAGTTGCGATCTTTGGGAGCCGATGTCGAAGTTTTCCAAAATTGCAACTCTTTACAATTTTGATATGGAAGAATCAGCCAAGTCAGATTATATTAATGAAAAAGGAAGCATATATTGTGATACCTTGAGATATGAAATGAATCCATTCCAGGGTGGCCTTCATATCCTGAATTTCACGTATGTCAAGCAAGTTTTACCTGTAAAATGCCTAATTCGTGTTGGGAAAAAAAAGGAAAACCAGAGAAAAATCAAGTAACTTTTCTTTAATCCTTAAATCTACACATTGTTATTATAATAATAAAACAATGAAAATAGAATAAAACAAATTCAAAATAATATGTACACAAATGTAAAACCTTATCTTACGAGTGAGGCGATGTGGCAAAGTGTCGGAGGAGGTGGTGATGGTGGAGAACGGATGGAAGGAAACAATACAGCACTACGTACGTAAGTTAACTTTCTCGAGATATTTCACAAAGTGCGAACACCAACACGAAACCAAGCACATGCGTAGACAGTGCCAAAGTATGTGTGAAGGGATTCTGCGAAGGTGTCATGGGTATGATCTGACCAATAGGAGAGCAGAACTGTTTGTGTTTCTTGTATCTTTGAATTTTGACATTTTTCGAGAGACCCTACATATCTAGGATTTTTCAAAACATGAAGCATTCATATCTCGAGGTACCATTATGTGAATCAAGGGAAAAATACGTAGCTCACCTGTGCTGGAAAAACAAAGGAACCTCGGCACCTGATGCTAGCTGTTCACTCGTTCTTAATTCTTTCCAGCACTGGAGAAATGAAGGTGCATAGAACCCTATTGCATTTGCTTTGTGTATAAATGTTTTGAGGATTTCTTTCTTCAAGGTATCATTTTTTGATAAATGTGTTTGAAATGTCACCAAATTTGGTATATACGTAAATGTAATTGGCCAACCATGTAGTGTACTTATAATAAGTACTATAGATTGGGTTTCCTAACAAGACAGGAAGTTGATTTTTTGGTGAAAACCTTCAAAAATGGCCACTTTTGCTTGTGTCCAACTTTAACAAACTCCTCCTAGAGATTGTATCAATTGATGTTTCAGTTATATTCCATAATTCTTATCTTAAGGCAAATGGGATGTTAAATTGTGAAGCTTTTTTGTCTTGGTTAAAATAAATGCACACTGCTGCCGTCAAACTTTGCCACCAACAGGAAGTTGTTAATAACTCAACCATGAAATGTCTGATCAGGATGAAACTCGCCATGTGTGTTGAGAGTCCATGTCTGAACACATCACTATAGCAATCATCAGTGTCAATCATAGCGCCGCATAGGGGCCACTATGAAAATCCCTTTTTCTACTGCTTGGTACTGCTTCTTCAGACTGGGTTTGGATATTTGATATTTGGAACACTTATGTAAGGAATCAAGACCTACAAAAAAGTAAGCTAGGGCGAGTTTCCAAAATCGACAGACAGTAATTTTACAAACACCTCTAAAAATGGCCAGCTTTGCACATGCTGTATTTTATCAAACTCCGTTTCCCCCCCTCAAACTTAAAATCAGTCTTATCTTAAGTCATACTGGATGTTAAATTATAAAGCTTTTTTCAAACTTTGTCCATAACAAGGCCATCAAAAACGTATTTTTGCCAAAAACAGGAACTCAACAATAGGATGTCCGATTGGGGTAAAACTTGGCACATGTGTTCAGGTACCATTCCACCTGGTGGCACCTAATCATTCTATTTTGTGGTTTTCATTATATAGTTTGTGATCTTATGTTTTCATGTTTTGTGTGCCTGATAAATAAATAAGTATATAATGATACGTAGTAAATTGAGTGAATTTCTTTCAAAACTCAATCATTTATGTCTAAAACACGCATGCGTATCCACTCACGTCCGTATTTTACCAAAATCATAACTGCTGGAAACTCTGGATGAAGAATTGTAAATAGTTCTAAAGTCAGAATTGCTTGATGTGAAGTAAAAAAAAAAGAACAAGTACAATTGAGTGAAAATTAAATGACAGAAAGGTTTTCTTTATTTTGTTCTCTCTTGATTTCCTTCTGTTCTCCCTGCGTGCAAATTAACCATACATTTAGTTCTTTTAGTGATTGCTTTGCTGCCTTTAATGTAAAAGCCAGTTTTTCATGTAAATTCTGTAAAAAAAATGTATTTTATACTATTTGAGATGTATTAAGTTGCTTGGGAATGTAAACACATCTATGAGTTTTTTGCGCTATCTCTAGGGGTTGGAAAGGCATAGGGATAAAAATGTGTGAAATATATAATATAAGCATTTGTTGTCCCAGAGATCTTTACAAATAGTAAAATATGATCCTATAAAACATAATACCCTCAAGAGAATAATAAAACCACTTCTTATAACTACTTGGTTTTTCCTTGTAGAAATGTTGACCGAAACTGAAGAATATTTTTTTTTACAGTAAAAAGTAACCGAATTAACCAAACACAAATAAACAGAACTGCATTTCCCCTGTTTCCCAGGTTCATACTGGAGGTGCCAAATGCAGAGATTTCCAAATCAATGATTAGCTCCTTTATTTTGTCTCATCGCACAAACCCCACTCGGCTCTAATTGCTTCAAAATACACTCGCACAATAGTGAGCTAATTTACCTACAATTATATTTTCAATTATGCCCTAATAAACCCATTGTACTCTAGGTAATCACAAGTTACCCTTTGAGCTAATGCAATATGGCGCAGTGTGAAGTCAAATTCAATTTTGTGCAGTGAAATGAAAAAATAAGCACATGCTCTCAATCATCATGCCAGAGGTTTATTCATTGCGGACCCCTACTGCTGTTCTGCAAGATGTGAGACAATAAGTACTCTGCAGTCTTGACTAGCAAGCCTCAGGAATTCCTAGGCTGTAGCCGTACAGTGTATTATGGCTTGTGGTAGATGAAGAGACCTCCCTTAGTGCTAAATAGAGTGCTTCCTCTTGTTGAAGTGAAACAGCAGATTAGTATGTCATCCTGCAAGATTTTCAGCTTTGTTTTGACTGTTGCTGGTAATATGGGCGGCCGGCCATTGACTTACGCAATGGTCATGACCTCCAAGTGAACCTCGATGGAGAGAGAGAAGGGAATGGTGAAAGTGTTAAGCTGATTCATGGTGTTTTGGCAGATTTCAGCTGGACTTGTTCAGTTGGACAACCAGCATGAACAAATAGAGTCTGGTAAATAATGGTAATGGGTAACATGACTCACAATTGTGAATGTGTTCTTCAAAAACCATTAGTTCCGTCTACAAAAAAAGATTAAGTATTTAATTGTAACTAAGTACTCAAGAGCCAAATCTTTACTTAGGTACTGACCAAATGCTTTCATTCGTTAAAATGTAAGCCTCTAACAAAGTAAGGCCTGTAAGGCACCAGCGATACAGCCATTCTAAATAAATCAAAATCCATTTCTATTAGTTTATTATGAGTAAAACCAACTCTTTCTCATGTTCCCGTGCTTTTGATGTCACAAACTATAGGATCCCACCCAAACCTTTTGACACAGCATGGACCTTGCCACTCATCATCATTTATGCTGGTTAAGTTTGCTATTTTGTCACTGGCGGATAATGTCATACTGTTCAACTTCCCAAAACTGGAGGCTGTCCCACAATGCAAAGGAAAGTATTCATATGAAAAAGTTTTAGGTTACGTTTAAAATAAATCTTAAAATGTACCATTTTTTACTGTTTTAAAAGTTTAAAAGTACTGATCTAGAAACTAGCTTTTAAAAATTTGTCCGTTACATACTTTTCTTATATACAAAAAAGTAATAGTCACTAACCCCATGACAGACAGCAGTCTGGTTCTGGTTCATGGAATATTTATTACAGGACCAGATTCTTGAGTCATTCTTCAGTCTTCTGTTGATTTTCAGAGTTTTAAAGGTGTTTTATTTTTATTTTTTTAACAACCTGATTTTACTGTATAAACTTCGAAAGGTTTTATTTAGAGAAAAAAAAACATATTTTTATGCATACATTTTCCATCCTGTTTATTTTTGGAGATTGAAAGGTTTTTATATCAGAAAATAACCTCATTTTATTTCCATTTTATTGCAGTAACCTCGGTGTAAACCTCGGACTGTTTTTTTATTACACCCTTAAACATTTATGCAATTGGTAGACACTATTAGACAAAGCGACTTACATTTCAAGAAATGAACACATTTTGTGAGTCCCTGTTTTCCCTGGGGTTTGAAACCATGACCTTTGCATTGCAAACACAACGCTCTACTAACTGCGCAACAGGGAAACATGGCACATATCTTTTAAACCCAGATGTTAAATTTTAGATTAGTTGGATGCTTGGGAAAAATCGTATGTTGTATAATTAAGGGTGGAACATTGCAGAGGAAGAAGAGCGCTTAATATAGCATCCAGTCTCTTTGATTCCCAGCAGCTCTGGGACGGCGCATGTGAAAGTCACTTTACAAAAGAAACCCTCCGTTTTTTTTCTCCACCTGTTTCAGGTGCATCCTGGGAGCTCTCTGGGACCTTTTCATGAACGTTTGTGTTTTGAATGCGTCAGGCATCCACTCTCATCCTCCCCCCCATCCCTCGACACTGTACACTGCACCACCTTCCTGCCCCGATGCCCCCCCTTCAGTCGTATCTTCAGTGCAAGGCTTTTTGCATTGTGTCAATAAACAAGACATTCACTGTCACAGGGAGGGAGAAAAAAGTACTCAAACCATCTTTGAAGTTACAGCCGTGGCGCTTTGAAGTTCTCAATGTCACAGGGCATTTAAGTTCTCAAAAGAATGAGTTGAAAAAGGAAGTCTGGAAATCTCAGCGTTCACAGAGGCATCTTCACAGAGATGATAAACGACACGACAGACATAATTAAACACCTCTGCGCTCATTTGCACTGGAGAACATGGAAATTGCAAGGGTGTGGTTAACATGCGCCATTGATTATATATATAGTAAATAATTGATTATGAAGATTTTATCAGAGGAAATCCGCCCAAATGCATCTCAGAGGGAGGTTTTATTGCTCAGGGGTTGCTCTTTTACAGCTCTGGTGACTTATAGGAGAACTTGGATATGTTTAATTGGAATGTCTGGTTTGTTTTTTATGAAGGGAAATAAAAAAGAAGAACATAACTCCAATTGTTGACATACAGTGAAAGATGCGCTACGAGAGGACGACGGAAAGCCTTAGATCATTTGTTCTTGGTGGATTTTAATGAGAAATATGTGAATTTGTATTGAATTGTATATTATGTTCCTTCAAGGGAACAAACATACTTTATGTCCATGAATAAATATGTGTCAAAGAAGCGTTCCAATGCAACCACAAATATATGATGAGTGACCCGGCATTTGTATTTTTAATTACTTTACACCATCTCTTTTTCACATTTGTGCCTATTGTAAAACATTAATGCAAGAAGCATCATGGCAATTTTCCACCGTCTACTTCCTGTGATTGCAAGAGATTTGTTGTGGCTGGTGAAGGCTGTATTTTGGGGCCTCCTGAGTGGGTTTGAAGTTTTCCTGTGTGGTTTGATTGATACAGTCTGAAATCATTACGCTCATCCGCACTGATGTTTCTTTGGGATCTTACAGTCATCTCTCTGATTGAGTGTCTATATGGCTGCTTGTGTAAAAAAATCCATGCTGGTATATTTGTCTGCATTCTTGAGTGTTTATCCATCTGTGAATTTTACAAAAATTGAGCACGGACCTCCACATCGATGACTGTTTTACTATGTTCTCTCGTGCTTGGGAGCCTTGGCTTGAAATGGACACAGAGACCTTTAGAGCTAATGAGTGTTTGCGGTTGTCCAGTGGAATTATGGTCAGAGTTGGAGTTAGTGAAAATGGCTGTAGTGAACTCATCTTTATTTCTTTAGCTCACTCAGCTCATTAAAGCTAATGTCTCATCAGTTTCTATTAGCCCTGCTAACACTGCTGACTCCATGCTGAGACAAAAGAGTTGAAATAAAGGAAGCCAGTTAGATCTGTTTCTTTACCTTTAATTATACAGCACCAGTTATCTTTGCCAATCACATCTATCTTGAAATAATTAGTAGTCTAACAACAGTGTGCTCTGTATTTTTCTCATACCATAACATGATGCTTTGTGTGAATAATAATCGGGATAATCATCTGATTTTACAATCATGCTCTTTTTAATTGATCAGCAAACTGCAACTTTAGTAAAATGTTTAATTCTTTACCCTTTCAGTTATCCCTTAGAAGTCTCTGCATGCACCGGGGTATCTGTAAATCACACCAGCTGTTTTGAATTAAGTAGGAGTGACACGACCCACCTATTGTTTCATTTTGATTTCAAATATAATGTGTAGGTTTCAAAAAGCATTTATTTTCATTATTTTGTGTTTTAAACAAACTTTTCAAAAGTTATGACACACTTTTGCAAGTTTTGCAAATGTGAGAAATTTGTGACCATCTTTCAGTTTAATTATACAGACCCCAAATTGGTGCTAACAGTGTCATCTGGTGGTGAAAAGAAGGGATAATCTTTGGAAGTAAAAAACCTGTGATGCGGCTTGTGTTTTTGGCAACAAAAAGCACAATGGAACACAAAGTGCTTGGAACAGCATAAAGAAGAGGTCCGCCTGTTTTTTGGGGGGTTTTTTGCATTTATTTTTGTTTCAACACTTCTGATTTTCTTTTTACAACTTAAAGCAGTTAGTTCTTAATTTTTGAGATGAATTTCATACAATTTCATTCTCACAAATGTATTTTTTTGTACAATTTCAGGCTTGTTGTGGAAATATTGTGTAATGTAATTTAAAGACATTTATTACAAGGGGGGGTGGGGTTGGGGGTTGCCCTATAAAATGATATCAAGCATTGTCAGAATAACAGTTTAAGAGGTAATTGATTAGAGCAAATAATTTTAAAGTATTAAACAAAAAAAAGCGCTCAAATTCTCGTGTCTTCTAAGGGTTAATGTGTTTTCTAAACTGAAACAGATCCATAAATAATTTAACACAAAATTGAAAATATGCAAGATTCTTTTATTATTTAGTATTTTAACTGCTTTGCAATATTTATGTTAAAAAGCATATAGTGGAGGGTGGCACAGTGGCGCTGTGGGTAGCACTGTGGCCTTTCAGTAAAAAGGTTTCCTCCGGGTACCCAAAACAAAGTTTTGACCAAAACAGACGTTTCTTCCCCACAATCCCAAATTGAAGGTTAGGTTAATTGAATAATCAAAATTCCCCTTAGGTGTGAATGTGTGTGTACCCCCACCTCTTACCCAAAGTGCGCTAGAGATAGGCAACAGACCCCCGTGACCATGAAAAGGAACAAGTGGAAAAGAAAGATGAACTCAAGTCTGCCTACAAAACAAAAACTGGAGTGCAGAAAAATGGCAGCAGGTGCTCTGGACTGATGAGTCAAAATGTAAATATCTGGCTATGGCAGAAAGCAGTTTGTTTGTTGATGTGTTGGAGAGTAGTACAAAGATTAGTTTCTTAAGGCAACAGTGAAGCATTAAAATAAATGATCAGCATTTAATTTTTAAAGCATTCTTTACCTTCAAATTTTTTTCATTCCTGATCACTATATAATTCACAAAAAGCATATGTACTTACCATGCTTTTTGATTTTTTATTTAATTAAATTTACATCAGAAATTAGGATCACAGGTGATTGAAGAGTGGCATATACTTAGAGTCCTTGGAAATATTTTTTTAATTTATTTGTGCCACACATTAATTGTATTCCTTCTTTTGTAATTAACTTGCAACTAAAAAAAAACAAAAATGTGTCTTTTACTGTTATTTTTATTGGAAATCCACAAATCATAAGGATCCTGTGGATCCCAAGTAACAATCAAATATTTATTAACTATTAGTTAAATTAACATCACAGTTGTCTCCTCAAATTTATAGCACCGTGACATAATTTACAGTTTAATTACTAAGAAAACTATAAAACCGACTCCATGAACAACCCACCGATTATAACTCTTACCTTAGAGATCAATAAATCAGAAGATACGGTCAGAATTTTATGTTAAAATCAAAACAAAGTGAATTGAGCATTTTCTTCTCTCCTAACCTGCAGCCTTTCCAATTTTCTCCAACCACGCATTGTATTATTTGCTCCACTGTAAAAAAAAACAAAAAAAAAACAACTCCATGTTAAAGGTCCACCAGAGGACGTTGTGGATGGGTTGCCTGGCTGTGTTTGGCGGCTAAAGTGTACAGCATCAGTGGGGGTTTGCCTGCCCATAATGGGGGCACATCTGGTGTGTCTGCATCCAAAGGGAAACAGATCAACCCCCCAAAGACCCGAAATGAACCCAACTCATATCTATCTCATCTCCCTGAGCCACGGGACAAGATCCTGGCTTCGGTGGCTGTTAGAGTTTGTGTAAATGAAGTAATTGTTTATTTAGAACTGAATCCGCGAACAAAGTGTGCGCGAGACATGAAAACGGAATAAAAAAGGCGCTGCTCTCGCATGGCTGCAGAAATGTGCAATTAATAGCCGAGATCAGCTGTTGTGATGTCATTATACATTCCCTTCATTTTCTACAGTGGGTCTGTTTGATCTTTGGATCCCCCCGGGAGCTCCTGCCTCCTCCCTCTCAGCATCTCTGCCTTCCTCCTCCTCCTCCTGCTCTCCCTCGCTCTGGCAGAACCTCCCCTTTTCTCTCTCCGAGGGCTCACATTGGCTTTCGTATGTGTGTGTGTCTGAGTGCATGTGTGTAAGAGTGTAAGTGAAAGTGCGCAGCCGAGCCTTGATGACAGAGGCCCAGGACCGTTCAGACGACTCGCACACCCTGCGTTCAGCCTTGCTTCCAGAAGAGACAGAAAGAGTCCAGAAAAAGAAGAACACAACAGACAGCCAGAAAGAAGCTGAAAGACTTCTCTACTAAACAAAGGAGTGAGGCTTTCACACACAGAGAGAGAGAGAGAGCCAGGGAGAGAGATAGAGAGAGAGAGAGAGAGAGAGAGAGAGAGAGGATCTCCCAGCTTAATGCGCAAAACGTCCCGCTACCACATGCTGTGCTCAATGGCCAACACAGGCTGTCTTCTGCTCTCCGGCTCAGGGATGCTAACTCACTCTCTCCAGTGTCCCCCTGCATTCCTCTACCTACCAGAGGTAAGGCGATCCCGGTCTGCTCGCTCTTCTTCTTCTTCCTCCTCTTCTTCTTCTTCTTCTGGTACTTGCTGGTGACACGTGCGAGCATTGTGTTCACCCCCTCCTCCTCATATGCCTCCTCCCTCAAAGCCCTCAGCAGGGGTCATCCCTTCTCGGTTGGATGC